TTGCAGCAGGAGGTATTGTCACTGAGAAGAGAAGTTGCCTAGGTCAAAAAAGTCTAGATTACCTCACCTTTATTAAGATGAATGAGGGATGGATCCCGAGGGGACTGACAGTGGGCGATACATTCGACTAAAAAAGGCCTGATGAGGGGGACGTAACAGGGTGTCGCGGCTGCCGGCCCGCCGCGTGATATTTAAATCACTAGCTCACCCCAGTACCTTGCCCTGTCGTGGTTTCCTGTTCCTGGTTTCCTGAGAGTGCTTTATCATTGTGAATCTGATTTCCTGGTATCCTGATCTTGGCTTTTCCCTGGTTATTCTGAATTCTGGTTTCCCTGACTTGGCTTGTGTAAACAGTAGTGTGTATTTTCTGGCTTCCTTGACCTCGGCTTTCCCTTTGACCATTCTCTGTCTCTAGCGTATTAGTCCGGCCATTCTAAGGTCCGGTTTACGCTCTGTCCTTTTATTTTCCTTTTCTTGCCTATGTATATGTTTACATAGTTTCTGCGTGCTGGACCACACTAGTAGTCGTGACATTGGGATTAAACTGATAAGAATAGTACTACTTAACACACCACTCCTATCTGGTGGCACATTAGATTGCACGCGCAGTGCCCCAAATTTGAAGAAGGAGGACCGACCAAGCATCTTTTTCCATCTCCCGGTTCCTAAAATCAATGCCATATACACGTCCCCTGATAGGGGACGTAACAGGGATTAAACTGATAAGAATAGTACTACTTAACACACCACTCCTATCTGGTGGCACATTAGATTGCACGCGCAGTGCCCCAAATTTGAAGTAGGAGGACCGACCAAGCATCTTTTTCCATCTCCCGGTTCCTAAAATTGATGCCATATACACGTCCCCTGATAGGGGACATAACAGGGATTAAACTGATACTACTTAACACACCTTATAATAAAGCAGAAAGAGGCAACGCAGAGAGAGGAGTCTGAAGAAGAGGAGTCAGAGGAGGAAGGTGGCTTTGAGGAGGTGGAAGAAAAAACACAGCAGGTGTCCCAGGGGGCTTGTTGTCACCTTTTGGGGACCCTTGGTGTTGTACGTGGCTGGGTGGAGGAAGAGACCTTCAATGACATCAGTGAGGACAAGGAACGGGACATGGCTAGCTTGGTATCCAACCTTGTGCAAATGGGGAGTTTGCGGTTGTGCAAATGGACTGTTTGCGGTTGTTTGCGGTGCGTTAAACGGGATGTTTGGTCTGTCACTGTGAAGCAGGCATAACCCTTATACTACCTGATCGATACAACATCATACCTGATGTTTTAAAGCATGTTATTCCAAACAATGTAGGAATGTTAGGTGATTTATGCCCTTTATGGATTAAAACCAGACTCTGCATCAACTATGTAATTTTCCATGGGAGATTTGCCATGGATCCCCCTCCGGCATGCCACAGTCCAGGTGTTAGTCCCCTTGAAACAACTTTTCCATCACTATTGTGGCCAGAAAGAGTCCCTGTGGGTTTTAAAATTCGCCTGCCTATTGAAGCCCGGTTCGCCTGTTTGCGAACTTTTGCGGAAGTTCGTGTTCGCCGTTCGCGAACCGAAAATATTATGTTCGCGACATCACTACTCTTAACCTGTTTGAGTTGAAACTGCATATTCACAGTGTGACCTCGTAATATGGATAATGTGTAGAGGTTATTGGTTTTTTGAAGGGAATTGTTACTTCTCTGGAAATTAAATCATGAAATAAAACATTAACTTTTTTCTATAACTTGTGTTAATCTTTTTTTTTATATTTAACTTAATTATTTAGCAAATAAAATCACAATTTAGCTCAGTCCAGGCACAACCAGGGCACAAACTGCAGATGAGAAATATAAGAAGAAAAATGGTTTCATTTCTCCTCTACTCTGTATGCTTTCTCTGTGCTGACTGCCAGGTGCAAAGGACAGAGCTTCTAACAATCTCTGAAAGGAAGCTAAGATGGAGGCGTCCAGTTGCAGGTGTGGATTTCTACATTTAATTTAATTTTTCATACCATACAAATATATATTTGTTTAATATAGAGAATAACTTAACATAATATTAAAAACCATGAGCAGTGAAATGTTAAAACTGCTTTGAAGGAACACTATAGGGTCAGGAACAGAAACAAGTATACATGTATTCCTGACCCTATAGTGTTAAATCAGGATCTAGCCCCCCTGAGCCACCTAAATATAGTAAAATGTTATCTTTATTGCAGTCTGCTAGTGCTGGCTCTGTCCCTAATCTGCCTCCTTGGCTGACATAATCAGAATTGATAATCTCTGCCAACTACAATACTTTGGAAAGCATTGAATTGGCTGAGACTGTCGAGGAGGCAGATCAGGGGCAGAGCCAGCACAAGCCAAACACAGCTATGGCCAATCAGCATCTAATCATAGAGATGCATTGAATCAAGGAAAGTTCAGTGTTTCTATGCAGAGGGTAGAGAAACTGAATGTCAGTGCTGTATACTGTGCAGCACTGCCCCAGGAAACACCTCTAGCAGATATCTGAGAAGTGGTCAGTGGAGGTGTCCCTAAGCTGTAATGTAAACATTGCATTTTCTCTGAAACAAACAGTGTTTACTGCAAAAAGCTTGCAAGACATGCTATACTCACCATAACATATACAATAAGCTGCAGTTGTTCCGGTGACTGTAGCTTCCCTTTAAGCTAAACTGGTTTTGGTGACTATAGTGTCCCTTTAATATATTTATATATTTGAGTACAAATTTCCTGATAGAGAAAAAATGTAAATTCCAACTCTAATTAAAATGTCTCCATTCTACAATTAAATTATCTTCAATTTTATTTGTACACACAATGTCAATTTTGTGCATATTAAGCATATTCGTAACTGCTTAGTAATATATCGAAACGCATATATATGATTATTCTAGATTTTATACTGCTTATTAATCATCTTGACCCTGGATTGGCATTACATCATGTTGTCTTCATCTTTTCGAAACAAAAGGAAGATCTGTGGCTGTTTTTAACTACAACTCCAATAATTCTTTTCCACTCTCAAAGTGTCACGGTTCTCACCGTGCCATACAGACGGCCATAAGTACCCAGCAGGGGGTTTGCACCTGGGTATTTTGCCACAGAAGTTCTGATTATTTCAAATGATTCTAGTCATGTTAATCCTGGCTTGTCTGCAGCACTGGGGGCTGAACTACGTCTGTAGTTAATGTTGATACACTATGTCCAAGGGTTCCACTGGAAAAATTAATTGTAAACCCCTGCTCTATACTATTAACTGAAAATTTTTTTGCAAGCTGAGTACATGCTTACATTCTTTGGTCAAATACTATTGTTAAAGGGACACTATAGGCACCTAGACCACTTAGTCTCATTGAAGTAGTCTGTGTGCAGTGTCCATGTAACCCTTAGTCCTGCAATGTAAAACGTAGCAGTTTTACAGAAAGTTGCACTACTAAGATTGTCTACCAGACAGCCCTAGAAGCTCTTCATGGAGTATTTGGGAGTTTGACTACGTGAAACAACCCTGGACATCCTTACGCTCTGCATGAGAACGTGCAGCATCACGGAAAACCCCATAGGAAAACATTGAGGCAAAGCTACCCTATGGCGAAGGCTTAATGCACACACAGCACTCGTAGGAGGTGACCCAGCGCAGAAGGACTGGAGTCGGGTAAGTGTACAAAGTGTTATTTAATCCTTTACATCGCTGAGGGGGAAAAAATATTTGTATTCCTTACACTAAAGTGTTCCTTTAAGTATACACCCCGTGTCGAGAGAACTCAATTCATAAATATCTGTGCTCACAGTTTTTCTATTTATTTATTTATTTATTATTACAATGCACTGCAGAGGATTCAGAGAGTCAAAGGGTTAATAACTCTGAAATACGAATGTGAAAGTAGTCTCAGGACGAATACTCGAGGGACTGCAAACAGTAGGGCCTTGTTACTGGGTACATCAAGCAACATGAATGTCATCCTTGAGATGACAGATCATTTAAAACAAAAAAAAGCAACTAATAGCCTGGAAAAAAGGGAGCAGGGTGTATTCACTGACCTCCTGCCAATCCGGCGACTGATTTATTGGAGCGTCTGTCAGTGTGCTGTTTGAAGAGTATATTTCATATGTAAGAAAAAAAAAAGGAGTCCCGTGGACTGGAAGGTGAGTGCCTCTATTTTATAAATGTACACCCAACAGGGCAACAAGTAATTCTTTCAGGGTTAATCACTAAACTAGTAATTGTAGACAATTGACAGTCATTTTACATTTTGGGACAAAAATACTAAAATAGAAAAAAAAAATTAGCCAGATTAACTTTTGCTCCATTTTAGATAATTTGGCTTCAAATGTGCAGTCCCCTTATTAATTCCCCATCTGTTCCAATTTACTAAATAAACTCAATTTCTTTATGTCTGACAGTACTTTTTCTAATAACCATCTCGAGCAAAACAATTCAAAGCAGCAGTTAAACTATCGCGTGGAAAGCATATCATTTAAAGGTATCCCTGAATATGGCTAATTGTTATGTAATTAATTGTGGAAATAGAGGTGGCAGTATTTTATAGTAAAAAAAAAATGTTTTGGTATTATTTGGATCTAATGCCCATTAGGAGTTATAAATATAGTACTGGTGATGGCTAATACCCATACTAAGGTAATGGTTCCTTAATTTAAAGACAGCAACACTGGTAAAGGTTACACGGTTTCTGTTATTAATTCATTCCTTCTACCTAGTGGTGTGCTGGAAGAGGAGATACTTAAAAATAATGACACTGTTCTGTCTCTCCAGCTCCTCTTCCAGTTTATTATTTTTACCAAAGTCAGATGTTTTTGTTTTTTTAAAACTTTGTGAGATAGAGAAGCAATTGGTGACACTTTAAATGACAGCAGGGGAGAGGTCAGGGGAGGAGAGATATATCTGGGTGTTGTCGGCGTATAGGGGGTAGTGGATTTCATATGAATTATTGAGTTTGCCAAGAGAGACAGTATAGAGAGAGAACAAAAGGGGACCAAGAACTAAACCTTGAGAGACTCCACCTGAGACTGGACGAGGAGAGGAGGTGTCGTTGTAAAAAGAGACACTGAAGGAGCATTGGGAGAGATAGGAGGAGAACCATGAGAGGGCTGTGTCACAGAGACCAAGAGATTAAAGAGTTAGGAGAAGGAGGCCATGATCAACAGTGTCAAAGGCAGCAGAGAGGTCAAGAAGAATTAGTATGGAGTAGTGGCCTTTGGATTTAGCTGCAATTAGATGTTAGATGATATATAGAGCCACCTAGTTTTGTATGGTTAAGGAGAAACTCTATGTAAGCATCAGCTGACATGATAAGCCAATCAACACTGACCAATCAATGCCAATGAAGGTCCGACCACAAGCACCTTGGCGTCCATCAGTTCATGTCAAATGTCTCAAATGGATTGACAGAAAACCAGGAGGACACCACTCACAGCCTACTAGCACTATAACCACTACAATAAGTTGTAGTAATTTTGTTGCTTTGAATCTCTGTTTAAAAGCACTGCTATTGCAGCATGCAAATAACACCTTAATGTATTTAATAAGCTCAGAGCCCTCAGTGATGTAATGCCAAATGTTTCTCACTAAATTAATCTTGTAAAAGAAAAAGTTTTCCCTGATTCATTGGTATTTACTACTTGTTTTTGTTAAAACAAGCATTTACTCCAACCACTAGATCAAAGTATATAATCCTAAAAAATAAAATGTACAGGAATTAATTAAAGGGACACTCCTGATTTGGAGATACAGTGTTTAGTAGATATACCCCAAATGTTACTTTTACTATGCATGTTTTTCATTGAAGCTATATCTTAAAACAGTTTGCAAAAATTCTATCTATTGTTGGCAGCATTTGAAAGCCCTCCCCTTCTAACCCCCGCCAACACTTTCTGTAGCTGTCCAATCACAGACTTGCCAATTCAGCTGAAAGAGAAATCTTTGCAAGGCAGGTGCTCTGGGCAATTGCTGCCTCTTGAGCTTAACTCCACTGAGCTAACCAAACCAGAAAGTAAAAGACAAGTGCTAGTTTATATTTAAATTGTCACTTTTTGTCAAATGACAAAATAGGACACACTCTTCATGCATAAAGCAATTCAGCAAGGTTAAAGGGACACTATAGTCACCTAAACAACTTAATGAAGTGGTTTTGGTGTATAGATTGTGCCCTTGCAGTCTCACTGCTCAATTATATGCCATTTAGGAGTTAGATCACTTTTTTAAAAATTGATTTTCAGTAAGGAGTTAATTTACTTTAGACGTTTTTACCCCATGCTCTGTAAATTGAACTTTAATCAGGAGGTCTAGCAAGCTATTAATGATGCAGAAGTTAAGAAATTCTCAATTAAACAGATTGTGCAATAAGTAAATATAAACATTAGATCTCACTTTACAGGAAGTGTTTAGGAAGGTTGTGCGCATTAGATGCATGTGCCTAAGACTGTATAAACAAAGTGATTTAACTCTCTAAATTATATTTAATAGAGCAGTGAAACTACAGGGGCATGATCTGTACACCAAAACCGCTTCATTAAGCTAAAGTTGTTTTAGTATCAATAGTGTCCCTTTAAGTGCTTTAGGGGTTTGAAGTGTCACTTTAATGCTTCACCCTAAAGCAGTGATGGCTAACCTTGACACCATAAATTGTTTCTGGACTATATTTCCCATGATGCTCAGCTAGCTTTTGGACTCTAAAAGCTAGCTGAGCATCATGGGAAATGTAGTCCAGAAACAATTTATGGTGTCAAGGTTAGCCATCACTGATCTAAAGTATCAAAATTAGTTTATTTAATAATACATGGGGGAAATGAGAATTAGATCCATTTATATTGCTCCAATAACAGACAGTATGTGATACAGTTCTTAAATAATTTGAAAATTGACAAACTACTACAAGCCTCCGTACATGTCTTTATTTATGTTTCTGTCTGTGACTTCACACTGGACACAATGTAACACTTGTTTATTGTATTTTATTCTAACCCTTGGGTATGGCAGTTTTTTTATATAAACAATAATAGGGTGGTCTCTGATTGCAAAAAAAGGGATTTATTCACTAAACAGCAAATTGTTTTGAACTGAAAATGTGCAAAATCAAATTTGGAGAAAAAGCTCAATTCTGGCTTTAAATGTTCAAAACAAGGATTGCCATATCAGTCCAAAATGCTGACTTTGGTTAAAACACTTTCTAATCTATAGTTTAAAAACTCTTTCTGGGCAGGGCCCTCTTTGATCCTTGTTATTTGGTAGGGAGGGGTTTGGAGCTCTATTGCACTTTGTACAGTGCTACATTACATGTTGGCGCAATATATGTACTAGCAGGTATCAAAGTTCACTATAGGTTAGATTAGAATAGCAAACAGCGCCACCAACAGGTGGATAGACTCTAAAGCACATTGCCACTTATATTGAAATAAATATTAATAACAGAGGTTCCTGTTTAATTTTACCAGTTTAAAATTAACCATATCATATCCATTTCGTCCTAATAAGGATTCTTTTCTTTAACAACACCTATCAATTAAATTGGCATAAAAACAAACAACAATTTAGAGAGTTGTTTTGGCTATGTGTTTACTATTATGAATTGACATACAAATCCAGATGTTTTTCCAAAACTTAAAACATTTATTTTTTTATTATTTTGCTATGAGTAAAAAAAACAAACAAAAAAAAACGTATTTTAATCTAAAGGAAATTTACTTTTTGCAGGTTTCTTGATACTAAAAGTAAATACTGTATTAATTATACAAACAACAAATCTATACAATCTGTACAAACCAAAAAACTAATACAATATTCTGTATATCATTCTTTACATTATTTATAAAAAAAATCTCCGTTTAATACGGTAAAGCACTCCAAAATACGTTGGCAATGCCACTATATGCAAATAAAACTAGCTTGTTTGTGTTACGCACAAGTCCCCTTAAAACAGAGCACAAAGAGGTTCCCTTTCTAAACAGTGATGAACTTAAAACCTCATTGCAAAATTTAGGCAACTATGACTGGTATGAAATATTTGGAAAAACCTACATCTACTCTTCACTGAAACCAAAATTTTATTTGGTTTTGTTAAATTATATTTTAATGCATCTATTTGTCTTATATTATTAAATTATCTACTCTGTCGTTTAAGGAAAATTACAATAATTACAGTACAGAATAGCAGATAATACATACAATATAGGCAAAGCTCGGTGTTTAGAAAATATAAATTAAAGCGCATAACCCTCACTTAAATAAGGGTCAAACAATCAAGATTTGGGGGGTAAACTGCACAAAATCCTTAGCAATAAGAAAATCGTTTTTCTCTTGAACTGATCTTTTAATGGTACTAAAATCTGCTGTTTTTGTGTCTAAGTACATACATTGTGCTCCGTCTATGAAATAGGTGAAAAGTCTTTAATGGAGAGATTAGAGTTGTAACCAGGAACCACAACTGAGGAGATTTTACAGGGTTAGGATATGCTAAGGGGCTTAAGTGTTTTCTAATGCTGGTTTTGCTGTCTGTACTACCATAAGTAACACACTATTTATTGTTTAATGGATAACCTAAGATTTGTTTTTAAAACAAATATCGTATATTGCACTCGTCATAGCTAACGATGCTTTAGCAGACTCATTAATCATTGATATTCAATCACACGATTACTGTAAAATTTTTAATCCAGGTGCAGCGTTGAGAAAGATTTTTACAGATGATACAAATATCATTTAAAAATTGTTTACCGATTTTTATTAGTATTTATTATTTCTGTTTTACCATTGTCTCTGTCTTGGGAACCATAGCATTATTGCTTACGTGTTAGTAATTCAATATTGATCGCTCAATTATATGCGCTAGTTTAGAATACATTAAGTCTGAAACCCACAACTAGACTTGTATTTACTAAGTAGAAGAAAAGAAAACCATTAGCATTCTGCTACTTGTTTTCAGAATAAAAAAATAAAATGGATCAGTCGTCCACAGGTGACAGGCCTTCTATTGATAGGAATAAAAAAAGATCTATATACTGCATTATACCTTTGCTAGTAAATGTATTTATCATTAAATATTCAAAGCTTAAGTTTGTAAATTCACTAAGGAACAGTGTAAGTAATTGTGCACACAAACTGGACAATGCACCACTCACAATCCAACGATGCTTTAATTGTCTAAACATTGCTTATGTGTGAGCAAACTACTTTAGCTCTCGATGGTTTTTGTCTACATCCCTTATCTCCCAAAAGGAGAAAGCACACGTAGGTGCCCCTATACTGTGTGACTTTTTTGCTAGTATGTAATACAGATTAAGACACATATAAAAATACAGTTTTACATATTGTGAGGGATTCAGTTCCACCAAATGACCATATTGTGTTAAGGCCACCACTACTTTACGGTACCCCAGTACTCTACACTAATTCCAACGTGAGAGACACATTAAATATTGCCAGTGCAATATATAAAGTGGCCTATTGGAAGACTGGATTAGTTTATATAAAAGGATAATAAATAAAGGTACTAAGTGGTAAGTCACATCACTATTACCTTCACTGGGGTTATCATTCACTTATTTGTGCCTCTGGTTGGGTTTTTTTAAGGATAGAACATGACAGAAGATAAAGCATGATTTGAATGTTCCCATTGTGATTCTCCGGATATTATGACCTGAGATAAACTCTTCCTTTGGGATTCAATACCAGTAAGAGATGCATATTAAATGGTACACACCACCTGGATGAAGCAAGTTACTGTGACATATGGCGGTTTGCAAGTACCCCCTTCAGGGAATCTCCTCTCCTTTTCACTGAAGATCCACAGAGTCAAGATCTGCCCAGTTGTAGAAATAGCAGACTTACTGTAATACCCTGGGGTTATCAGAGGCTATCAGTCTCACACAATGTACATATTATTTTAACTTTGAATCACACTAAAATCATGTTTTGGTGTTATCTGTGCATGTTGCATCTGATCAGTGAGTTGCTATATTTTGGTTACATGCAGAGTTTGTGTATATATCAACTTTACATTTATACCAAACGTATTCTGTGCTGAAAAGAAAAAAAAAAAAGAGTTAAATGGTACCTCCATTACCAAAACATCATTGTGCCCTTAATCATGGCCTGTTTTGCCAAATGTTGTAGAGGAAAAGGAAATGGCATACTTTACTTTCATTGGAAATCTTCAGAAGTGTTCGCCTCCATACCATTTTTAAAGTTTTCATATATCAATTTTTATGTTTCTCAGAAAA